TGCAACAATTGGGAAAAGTATTTATGAATAAATATATGGAAAATAATGGCTAGGTCAGGGTAGGTTTGACTAGTTATTTCTTTAATTTAAGTGAATTTAATTTAAGTGCGGGTTATGCATGAGTGCGGGTAATGCACAAGATTTTAAGGTAACTACATTTTGATGAAATACTTATACCCCAATAATTTTGTATTAAGAAAGTTATGATTATTATTTCAGTGATTATTCAATGATTATTAAGTTCGATATTAATGGGACACTCGTGGTTATCAATAATAAATCATGATATTTTACTATTTAGACATACCTCGATTCTCATCCTTTACGGACGCGTGACTATAAATGGGAAACCAATTGGCGGTAATCACGCTATTAGTACAGCCCTTGATGTTGGGGTTGTATTTCCGGCGTATAGTCTGCCGGCCATTAGAGTCCGTATAAAACACGCCATCGGTCTGGAGGTCGGACTCAAATTGGGTGACAATCTCTTTGCCAATCTTGTCGGCCATCGGTATCGGACCGACCGTCCAATCAAACTCAATGTAATCCCTGTCCTCATATGTGCGCACCGTTTGGTGTATATAATCAGTAAACTGTTGGTTCAGCTCATGTACGGCACCCGACGTATGCCTTGAGATTAGCCTCTGTTGCCCGTAGTCCCGGGCGTTGCCGTCCGGACAGAAGTGATAACTCCCGGAGTCCTCGAGACCCGTCTGATTGCCAATGGATATATACCATTTGAATGATTGGTTTAGTCTGTGTTTCTGTCCGTTAAGTGTAATTGTCTGGAGAGCACCGGTAGTGCCGTCCACTTGCAGTGTAAATGATTTGCCCTTCATTTCAATGTTATCGGCCGTGCGCTCGCCGGTCAACACATCCATTAACGGGTCTGACAATTAAAAAATATTTATAATGTTTTATTAATTATCTTGTTTAAAAAATTTAAAAAGTTTCCTACTTTGATAGTCCAATAGTAAAACTTTAAATATGCACAATTTTTAAAATTATGTAAAACGTAGATTCTATTACAGTTTATAAATAACTAAAATAATTATTTTTAATTTAATTAAATTAATTAATAATAATTATTATTGTAAAATAATTAATTAATAAAAAATACGCATCTTTTTAGCTAATAAACCAGTAAAACAATTTTCACGTGTACAATATTTATTTTACCTAGATCTTAAAATTAATAACAGTTTTTAAAATTAAATTAATAATTTGCGGATAATATTCATACACAATGGATTTACAAAATATGTGCTGCATACAATAAATATACTTTAATTTAGTATATTTAAAACTAATATGCATAATGTTATTAAAAATTACTTTCTATGCAAAAACTACTTAACAAGTTTGTACATCTAAAATAATTATTATATTACTTGATGTTATGCGCCAAAACTACCCAACTTGAACATTTTATTAAATGTTTAAATTTAATATTAGCAAAATATTGGATTAAATTACAGTTTTTGTTCAATAACTTGTTTTAAATATTTAAAATTATTTTCTTACCCTTAAAGATGACTTTGTGTTTCTCAACAAAATACGTGGTAAACCCGAGCGCCGGTAGCTTTGCGCTGAACACCAACTCATGTGTGCCGAGACTACCCTTACGTTCGGGCAATAGTCTGACCGCTTCGGACACCGGAAGCAGTGATTTGGCCTCGACTTCGGCGCCGGTCGAGTCAAACACACGATACACACCGTCAGTGACCGGCACTCGCAAGTAGTGAGTGACGGGTCGGGCGATCGGGTTATAGGCAGTGACGGCCACCCGATCCGCGCTCTCAGTTAGTGTACAGTCGGTTATATTGAGTGAATCGCAGTACACGTCGGTTACAATCACCGGTTTCTCGGTGTCCGTCGATTTGAGATAACTATAGGGCATTAATTAACAACAATGTTAAACAATGTTTTATTTTAGCACATGTACTGTATTTGCATTTCTTTTTTATTACACTTAACAGACTAAA